ACAAGGTGGGCTGACTAGGCTGCAAATGTTCTCTGAAGTGTCATATCTGGTGCTTGACAGTGGTACCAGGTCAGTGATGGGCACAGCCTTCGACATGTGACCAACATTAGGATGAACAGAGCAAAGCACTTTAAAAAAACGTAAATTGTGTTTTTATTTAGTAGTTCACAGTGAGAATTACAGCAGGTAAGAAGTTACAGCTGTAATATTAAAGGGGTCTTACGTACAGAGTGATCAGCCCACGGAGGTATGGGTTTGTGAAGACTTGCCTAGAGCAGACCTGAGACAAAATGACAACTCCATTTCACAGTTCGCAAAAATTTTCCATCCTTGCTAAGGTCCTATTAACAGCTAAGAGACAATTTACAAGATCAAGGTTTTTAAATTAAGTTGTAACAGGTATTTACTAAGAGTTTCATGAACAATTTCATGTATAACTTTCCTTGTACAGTCCTACTAGTCAGGAACCTATTGTTCCATGTATCTGAAGGAAGCAATTCCTAGTCGCAGGGTTTGGTCCTTTGCTGTAAAACCATCAAGTAAACAGGTTTTGATGAAATCAATAAATGTGTCAGTTGTATTCAAGCTTGGCAATAATCGATTTGGTTTCTTAGTAAGCATTACAATTTCAGTGATAAATACAGCAACAAAATATATTACCTTTGCCACCGGTGATTTATTTAAATCTATTTGTTCACAGAAACAATAATTTGATCGTAGCAACATTTTATATTTATGCTTCAGTTTCCTTATTCTCTACTACTCAATTAATGGGTTGTCAAACTGTGACGGCATTAGAAATTCATGGATTTTTTTAAAAAACATTCCTTAGCTGAATTTGCTGCCTTACTTTGCCTGTCCTGGTCTGCAATGATTCCTTTTAGACACTTTTGGTATTGTTTGGTATCAGTTTGTGTTCTCTCTTGTTAGTTTTTTCCCAATTTCTCAATCAACGTAGCTCAGTGGTTAGAGCAACTCGCCTCGCAAACGAGAGACATGGGTTCGATTCCTAGCAGGGTGAAATGTTTGGCAAGTTTCCTTACTCTACACGCCTCTGTTTACCTAGTAGTAAGTAGGAACCCGGTTGTTAGTCGATTGACGGATTGCTTTTCCGGGGGTAATAATTCCTTCCACAAAAAAATAATAATAAATTGGTCACTCAATCCACGACTGTACGCAATTAGCTGCCATGTTTCGCCCACAAAATATATAGTCAATTCACTTTACAGTATATTCTGTGAAGCGCTTTGAGACATCGCAAAGATATGATAAGGCGCTATATCAAATGCAAGGATTATCATTATTAACAGTCCCCAGATTAAAATTGTTCGTTCATTTTGCACCTGTTTTGCTGCGTTTGCCTACAAAATACAAAGGCATTACATTTAAAATTACTATAAAATGCCCCCTGACACGAATGGTACTATATCAAATGTAAGGAGTATTAATGATAATTTTTTTCCAATCAATTTTCTTCCCTTACTTCATCATTTGCTTCAGGTGTCAAAGTGGAGTACAATCCCAAAATTTACAGACCATTGGCACATGGCACATGCTTAATCAGCCAGTCCACTGCAAAGAGCCTCTTTTTCCCTCTCGAGAACATTGCCCATTTACACACTTACTTCACCCGTTCTGCTGTTGGAATCTTTGTTCAATTCTCTGTCATCGAGATATACTGCTCCACTCCCTGACCCACTTTCCTGATTATATCATCCATAAGCACCAACTCATAACAAACCTCTGAAGCCGGTATGATCTCCACACGCCCATTACTACCAGCACTGAATCAGGACCCACACATTGAGGAAGCTGGGCGACACTTTCTTCACAGGGTCTCCAGCTAAGAATTAGTTTCTATTAAAAAGCAGACACTTCCAACACAGCTAATACTGGAGAACTCACCTGCGCCACCTAGTACTTGAGAGCTCAGCAAGAGAAGTGACTCCAAATATACGTCTCTATATGTACTACGACACAACTGGGATGTTAGAGGTACTGGTTGAGAAACAGACCGCACTGAGAGTCTTTATGTTGTGTTGGGTTGTGTCACTTGCGCTAGCCAACGCAAACATACTATCGTGAAATATACTCAATGATAGGCGCAACTCCTCTCTTATACCTAGTATCTCATATCTGCAAAACACTCTCTTAACTCACACTTTTTGAACAGTGCAGGTAATTGTGCCCGGTTCTCAATTTGCCTCTCAGTTTCCAAGAGCCCATTTATGTCTCAGGGATCAACAGTTTACAACAAGTGCAGCATTTTGTATCTTACAAACATAAAATTCATTGCGGCATTTTTCTCAGGAAAAGGCATGAATAGATGAATGGCCCACGGGACATCAGGTGTTTAAAAAAAATGTCAGGAACTTCAGAACTCTGAATGCCTAGAGTCAGATACCACCACTACCAACCCCTGCATACACACACACAAAGAATGAATTCAAAGCACCATTTAATCACCACAGATATTTAAAGGGACAAACCACCTAGAAGGATAAGTAAATGACTGAGTACGTAAACAAAAATAGCAGCAGCACTAAGACAATGTGAGACTATGGGGAATGTCCAAAAAATGTCCAATTTTGATTGAACCATAGTAATAATTTGGAAATCTCCAAGAAAATGTTTCAGGAACCGTTGCTCAATTGCAAACTCCCTGCTTGAGGACCTCCCCAACTCCTCCCTCAGTAGGTTGCAGATCATCCAGAACTCTGCAGCCCATGTCCTCTCCCGCACTAGACTCTGCAACCTTATTACGCCCCCCCATCCATGCCCGACTCCACTGGCTTCCCATCACGCAGAGGATACAGTTCGGGGAAAAGGGGAGAAAAAGGAAGAGAAAGATACGTTATCGGAATAAAACCACTAGAGATGTGGCATGGATAAATATTCTGGAGATAATCTTTAATTACTTTTAGGGATTAGAGGGGATCCCACAGGGAATATGATTGGAAGGAGTCCATAATGTTTTTTTTTTGTGTGTCTGTTAAAAGCAGATTTGATGGGCTTCCAAGTTCTTGCCTCAAATTTTCAAGTATTATTGTGAAAATTGTAGCCAGTATTATTGATGGACCTTTATTTTAATTTACCACCCTAACACACCACAATGCAGATCTGTGCCTGTAATTCCTCACACAGTGATTTCAAGATCTCAGCCTCACCACCTTTCATGTCTATGTATTGTGTATGTCAATATCTTTGGTAAGGGATGATCTCTAAAAGAAGGCAATCTATCTTCTATATGGTTTTCCTCATTCTTCAAAGTCCTTTATCCTTCACAACACCCAACCTCGAGGAAAATCACTGACAGAGCTCCTCTCTGAAGCTTTATACTTTGAAGACTTGAGTCTTGCAAATTTTCCTTGATTCCATGTTTGAATCAATGTCACCCCTGCACACCAGACTTCAGTGTCTAGACTACAGTACAGGGTTTTGTTACAAAACAAAGCATATATATTATCCCAACTAAATTTGACAGTCCACGTTCACTGCTTTGTAAAGGTTTGAAAGTCTATTCTATGTGGCCTTCCTACCAACATAGTAATTAGAAGCTCTCATGGCATTAGCCTGTCACCAGACAAACAAACCCAAAAACTGACCAAGGCTTGAAATCCTTCACTTTACCTCACTGTTGCTGTAATAAATAATAATAATAATCCTTGCCATTGGTACAGCGCCTTATTATGTCAGAAAGACATCTCAAAGCGGTTCACAGGATTTACTGTGAAATGGAGTCACTGTGTATTTGTTGGCGAATGCGGCAGCTCAATTGCACAAATGTCCCACAAACAGGCATGAAAAGAATGACCAACTTTTATTTGGGAGATTTTTGGCCAGGACACCAGGAGAAACTGCATTCACTTTTCGAATAGTGCCATGGGATCTTTAACGTCCACCAAAACAGGCAGACAGGACCTCGGTTTAACATCTCATCCGAAGGACATCACCTCTATATCAATACAGCACCACATTGGAGTGTCAGCCTAGACCATATGAGTTCAAGTCGTGACTCATGTGGACTTAAATCTGCTCAGTAAGAGAGGGGCCACTGGTTCAGACAGCACAGTTACTCAGAAGATCATAATTTGTACATTGGTAGGAAGAATCTCCTAAAAATGGGAATAATTGTAAGGGATTTTTACGATGAGATACATATTCCTCTGTGTGAAAGTCACTAAACTCTAGTTATTATTATTAGAAATATAATAAGTTTTTGTAGGAAATTCACACAACTTCAAAAGTGAACAGCACATTGACCTGGCAATATGAACCCTATGGCACTGCCATGCATACCTATAAGGAGTAGTATCAATATTCTGCCATGCAGCATCAAGCTTTTTGGCAGACAGCCTATAATAGTTGAACTATTCTACTGCAGTTGAACTGCAGTTCTCTTTCCCCCAGTTTAAGGTGAAGTTGAGCCAGTGGGGTTCTTCTTGCCATCCATTTGCATTGCCCATGTCGCCAAACTCGCCGTGACACATTCAACTGCAGTTAATATGACTGATAACGGTTAGAATTTGTCTACTGCTCCTTACGGTAGAAACATTAATAATATACGGTTTATAAAATTCACATCAGAAAAGTTTTGAGGACGACACCTACTGTACACCAATTAGAAATGAGAGTTTTGGGACATCCTCCCAACATGAAAGGTGCTACATAAACATAAATTGTATAATTGTAACTGTAGGCCAGTTACCATAGAGCTCGTAACAATCCCAATTTATTGTGTTTAGAATCTCTCCTTTTCTTTTCCCGCTTTTCCATGATACATCGCGACCTTGAAATGGGGCTACTGGAATTGGGATTATTCCCATAGGCTGTACATTGAAATCCAGCTAAATGCCTGAAACCAAACTACTCTATAAATATCCCAAATCCATACAATCCACATCCCACATCAGGCAATGCCACAAAATGTCTAATGCCGGATCACCCCAAAAGTGAAGCCCTGAAAATAAACTGAGAATGACTGCTGTGTTCATACATACATGTGCTGTGTGGCCGGTGGAATGCCCCTGGGTATCGTCTGCCCATAGTGACCAGTCAGTACATCGCAGAGTCTTATAAGCAGTTGACAAAGCACTGCTCAGGGAAATTCCAAAACGCAGCTCTGGAAAACACAAAACAAATTTTAAAATTTACAGCAATCATTCGGCTTCCACTGCTCAAATATTAATGGATACTGCAAAACCGGGGACACATAAAGCCACACAAAATTAGCTTCGGCATATTGAGCAGTCACTCAAATGCACCTGATCACAGATACTGTATCGGTGCTTATGATACCTATTATTACCAGGCTGGCAATGTTAGCAGATTCTGTATCAGAGTTTCCAAGAAACCTTTCAGTGTTGTACGTGGATTGAATTTAACTTCAAACTCATGCATTTCTCCAATAGCAATAAAAAGGAGAACTGACACTTTGTTACATGGAGCAGTCATTTCAGAATTACAGTAATGCCGTTGTAAATCAAGAACAACAGGCAATATATGATATCCATGCTACCAATATGCAGTGTCCAAAGTACCCACAATGAGCCACAAATAGCAATTTGTTAAGTATATATATGTGAATATATTAAGTAATGGAATTTTCTCCTTCTGACTTATTACAACAACTTGCATTTATATAATGCCAGGTATTATTACAGTAAAGCGTCCATATTGTATGCACATTGCAATGCGCTTTCAGTCGCGAAGAATAATATGGTTATAGCAAATGGGCAGCAGCATGAGTAAAGGCCAGTAGGATTCCTTTATAAGGAATCTCAGTCACGCAAATGAGAACGAGGTACATAATTTCAAACTGTGGGAACATCACTCCAGTGCAATCTACATCTGGAGTGGAGTTCCTTGAATCAGCAAGAATTCTGTTAAGAAATGCTTGAAATTAGGGCCCCTTGCATTCATTGCTATGTACACTTTTTTTGTTAGTGTGGTTTACTGACTGAATTTTGGTTGCATTAAAAATGTTTTCAGTTCAGTAGATTGCATTTCACATGATGACCTGACATCTGCACTGTTTTCATATCCACAATTAGTCCCAATCCACAGTTGAATTAGTGGACATACCTGGATCTCTACCATGCAGCACCACAGTAATTACAACAAGAAGAACAAAATTACATTTGTATAGCGCCTTTCACGGGACGTCCCAAGGCACTGTTAAATATTCTGAAGCCAAGCAAAAATGCACCATCAACAGTATGAACTATGCAATAAACAATTTTCAAAGGAACTGATGCTTCAATCTGATGTTCATGGTGCTTCCTGTGCATAGTGTGCAGGGAAGTGACATCACCAGCGATCTGATGACCAGAAGGTGGCTATTTTTAGTACAGGGAGCCTGTTCGTAAGCACCAGAGGCCGGGTGTATAGAGTAGACTCTAAGCATGCCCCGAATGCATTCCAACAAAGTCGCCTTGCAGTACAACTTCACATCAATGCCTGGCTGATACTTCAACTTACAGATAAAGTATCTGCAACTTAATAATAATAATCCTTGCATTTGATATAGGCCCCTTACCACTTCAGTGAGACTTCCCAAAGTGCTTCACAAGATATATGGTAAAGTGGATTGACTGTGTATTTTGTGAGAGAAAAATTGCCGTGTTTCTCGATACAGGGTGTCCCACAAACAGTCATGGAATGAGAGAACAATTTTTTTTGAGGGATTATTACACCCAGAAAGTGATCCGCTAATCGAGCTGCAGCCGGGTTCCTACTTGCTGCTTGATAAACAGGGCTTAATTCACAGCTAGAGACCAAACAGTGACACCATACAGTGCAAATTCATTGCTGGGCTCCATGTCCAGCACTTTCTGTTGGCTGTTGTCTCCATTCATTAACTCTTCATTGAAATTGTGCCGCACAGAGAGCTCTGGTTCAATTCTGCAATGTTTTGGAAATCTGCCTCAGTTTCATTTGTTTCCTTAATGGGACATTGTAGAAGTGCCATCAATTTGATTCGAGCAGGGATTGTTCAGACAATTAATGACTGTAAAGGATGTCATCCCCAGCCTATAAACGGGTTAGTTAATTACAACAGGTTCAATTAACAGCAAAATGCACCAACATGCAAATTTCTGGCAGCAAGGCGCCAGTAATTTAGTTAGCTATATTGAGAGTGCAAAGCAGTTTCATTTTTGGGCCATGAGTCAATATAAATAGCAGCTATAACTCTCCCCACTCCTTCATCCACTACTTCGCAGAGGCAGCTAATTAGCTGCAATGTGCCGTCAAACCATCTACAATTCTCCACTGCAATGAAAATATTCTGCATTGCCTCACCCAGTGTACGCTTTTAATATGCGCATCAGGCCATACACCAGACTACCTTTAGCTGTGAATTAATCCACAGGTGAACCTGGGACACAAACTGACTTCCTCCGATGTATGGCTGCTGAGCTGGGTAATTCCCCGCAGTAACAGTCCTGACAATGAAGCCACAGACAACTTAAGCTTTGTGTACTGTAAGTTTATGAAGGTCATCTCCATCGCACTGTAATTATCTTACAGGTTTGTTCTATAATAAGTTTTATCAAGCACCAGTCCATGGAAAATCTTCCTTCCCTCGCCTCACATTTTTTGGTTAAATTATTCTCAAGAGAGCCTTTATATCTAGAAATAAGTCCTGGAATCAAAAACAGTCTTGAACCTACAGGATTAGTGACAGCCAGGGGCTCTCCTGATGGCTCAATGAGCAGCTGAGCCAGAGAGGTTCCTAGTTTGAGCCCTGGTCTGTGCCGAGTTTGACGATTTCAGCCCAGCAGCACGAGTGGTGCTAAACAACAAATTAATAATAATAATAATCCTTGCATTTGATATAGCGCTTTTCTCATCTTCTTGATGTCTCAAAGCGCTTCACAGAATAGATTGTAAAGTGAATTGACTGTATATTTGTGGGCGAAACGCAGCAGCAAATTGTGCACAGCAGTGTCCCACAAACAGTCGTGGATTGAAGTGACCAATTTTCTTCTTTTTTTTTCTTCAGGGATTATTATCAGACGTGTGGAATAAGGAAACTTGCCCAAGGTTTCGCCCTGCCGGGAATCGAACCCAGGTCTCTCGCTTGCAAAGCGAGTGCTCTAACTACTGAGCTACAGGACATTTGTATAACGCCTTTCACGTCTGGAACATCAACCAGAGTTCCCTCTCACAATCACTATTGATAGCCCTTCACTGGAGGGTGGAGTGTGCCCTGAGCCATCGAGTGGAATGGAATCGGGAGCAGGATTGAGAGCGGGTGGGATCAGGAGCAGGATTGAGAGCGGGTGGGATCAGGAGTGGGATCAGGTGTAGCTGGGTTGCTGCTGTGATTGTATAATCTCCTGCTACTCATCCCCGAGGATCATACATGAATTACAGGTCACGCAAACGAGATTCCAGAGGGAGACCAAACCTGCGCATCCTCTTCCCGGAGGGACCCATCCTGCTGGAGTTTAACCAGTTAAAAACGCACAGGAGGGAAACAAAGGAGATAAATCAACATCTGCAGGGGAGAAACTAGTTACAACAGCCTAAAAATGATCGGTGTCCAACACTCAGTGAAAAGAAGTCAACATCCCACTGCGGAGCAGACTTCAATTGTCTCCTGAAAAAAATTATGGTATTATTTGTGCCCATGCTGCCTTTCCACAACAGCAGCACGGTGGCAGCTTTGCTGCCTCTGGAAGTGCTTTTACACAGTGGGTCCCGAGGGCTGGTTTCCTCAGTATCCCTCGGAAACAGTAGCAAAGACAAATGGTTCCTGGGGAAGGACACAGGCTGTCATTTATTCTGGTTGCCAGCAGACTGAGTGCTTGACCTGCCTGTAGAGCCCAGTGGTGCAGTCTCCTCAATTGCTGATCTTCCCCAGCAAGTTGGTGAAGATACAGGAGTCAGAAAATAGTTACAAACATCAAGTTAAATATAAGACTGCCAGCGCAAGCTTGCTTACACATGCATATGTTCCTCGTTACTGTGGAATCTGCCCAACTATATAAATGGGGTTCATCCCTCAGCATCATCAGTCTGAGGATATAACACACCCACTTCTGCTTGAGGCAGTTCAGTAACACCTGCTCTGTTTACACTGGAACCTCCTGCAGAGCCACTTCAAACAGGCATTCAGCTTGCTGCCTGCTAACATTGCTGCCGCCCCCAGAGGCAACAACAACTTGCATCTATATAGCGCCCTTCATGTTAGGTAATGTCTCAGAACACTCCACGGGGACACGACTAGACAGTGAGCAAGGGAGAGCGGAGGGAGAGGAGGAACAACAACAACAAAATTACATTTATAGAGCGCCTTTCACGTCGGGAGGATGTCCCAAAGCGCTGAACAGTCAGGTGTCAGGGCCCGAACATGGGGGAGGGGTGGGGTAGGGGTGAGGGTAGGTAGAGAGGTGGGAGGGTGACCAAAGGCACGATCGAAGAGGAGGGTCTTGTGTCCGGCCTTGAAGGAGGCAAGGGAGGAAGCAAGGCGAAGGGACCGTGGGATGGAGTTCCAGAGTGTAGGGGCAGAGAGACTGAAAGAGAGGAAGGGGAGAAGGAGATGATCAATGCTTTTGGGGAATCACAGGTAGCAATGACAATTGGCCTCAATCAATGAAAGTGCAGTATTTCAGCATTCCAAGATGCTACCCCGCGTTGTAATATAAATATGGCATTAAACCAGTATGGCATTCGGTAGTGACTGAAGTCATACGTTTTTAAAGAACATTGGCTCTGTCAGGCATTGAAGATCAAAAGAATAAAGCTCCCAATACTTCCAAGATGTTAATCAGATTAACTTTTTTGAGCCAGCCATGTATCTGACCACATGGAAACTCATCATCGTGCTTAAGAGTACCCAAACTACACTAAGAGTTTCATGCATGTCACCCATGTGAAAATTCCCATGTTTGGAATGGAATGCACATCCTCTCCCCAGAGGAACAGATCCTGCTGGAGTTTAACCAGTTAAAAACACATAGTTTCCCATGTCCATCTTAGACCATCATACCTGTTATGGCTTTAGCTTGCAGGGTTAAGAGGAGCGGAGTGTGAAGAATCCCTGTACCCCATGTATGCCCCACAAAATCCGACTGATGAGCCATGTTTGCTCATCTGCCATCAGCAGTGCCCTGG